TGTGCCAACAGAAAAAAAAACATCAAGTCTCCAAGAAGCATCCGACATAACTTTTTAATGAATCTCGAGTGCGAATAAACAAAAATGACTACTGTTTCAGAGACGTGCAACTTTTAACACTGAAGATCCAAAGCTGTACAAGCAGGACAAGAAAGGCGAGGACGACTTGTTTGAAAAGTGGAATAAACTCTTTAGCCTGCAAAGCCAAGTAATTTCATATGGTCAGCAGAGTAATCAGACACTAAACCAACTGTGAACTATGTCCTCCTTTCTTTAGATGTCAAAATATGCCGGAAAAGGGGATCATGTAAAGTACAGTAAAGCAGTATTTGTACTGCACTGTACCTGGAGTGTTGATTTAAGACAATCCTCCAGGTACAGAGAGGTACAAACTAAAAGTAAAAATGTTAAGAGTTCACCGAGTTCATTCACTGAAGAAGAAATTGATTCCTCAGTAACTAGCACAGTGGATTGTTGTATACTAGTGTGACGAGGGGAACCACACTGAGTGAAGTGAATGAAAACTCAAGCTATTATAATCTTGGTCATCCAGTCAGCTGATGAGCAGAGATTGGTATAAAAAAAAACAAGCTAACAATCCGGGTCCATTGTTTGGTCTCCAGATATAAACAGCTCCAGCCATTATATAACGGCTCCGGATAGCAACCAGTGATGAGCTGCTCTAAAACACAGGAAACACTGTGAACAAGGATCTATTCCACATGATGCGTGTGTGTGTGTGTGTGTGTGTGTGTTGTGTGTAGTACAGGGAGAGAGAAAAAGACAAATTAAATTGGAGTTAGTTTGTGAAAATGGCATATGTATTGATATTTGCTTTGCGTGCAAAAATATAGCATAAAAGAAAGTGTAATTGCTAAAAAGAGCCATTACCACACTTAATAAAGACTATCGCTCTCTTTCACACTCTTTCATGAATAGTTACACCTATAACAGTTACACACTACATGTACCTTTTTTTCTAAGTATATGAAAATGTTGTTTACATAAAACACATGTAAGCTAGCCACAGAGTTTGTCAACAGAACAATATTTCAGCGGCCTAAAACATCCACTTGAAATTAAGGGATTGCATCAGTCAAAAGACAGTACAAAAAATACCATATTCTACAATGCAGCATCGATGTACCAGAATGCAATGCAGCTCAAACACATGTTGCAGTTTTAAGTCAGTCTCACTTTTTGAGTAGAAATCCTGTATTTGGATCTTAATTTGTACATCTAAAATATAAATGCAACACATCCTCTGGTTTGGTATTTTATATATGTAGGAAATCACTTTAGCAGAACAGATAAAAGCACAGAGGGGAAGTGGGTACAACAAGAAAAATAAATGTACTTTCGACACACACCACATTTTACAACAGTGACAGATGTATCTGTAGCTGGACTACAACATGTGCAATAGTTACATAATGCTCAAATGTAGCAGCCAGAAGGCGTTGCTGTCAAAGAAACCACTTCTATAGTATTATTTATTACAAGTTATTCTGCTAATCATGCATCGTTTTGATGTCCCAAAACTCCACAGCTGTCAGGTTTATTATAGCATCAATATCAAATGCTGCCAACGTAGAAAAAGATGTGTGTGTGGAACAGAACAGTCCTGCTAAAGGGAACATGCAGACCTGCTAACTCCTCTCTGCTGTGTTTGCCCGTTGATGAGTGCTTTTTGTTCGGGGATGGATTATATTTCGTTGCTACGTTGACCTTAGCTGAATGTCACCGGGCATCTCCTGTCCAATACTGACTGTGCACATGCTGACCCTGCAGCAGCACACAGGATCAATACATCCTCTGCCTGTGATGTGCCTCTAAAGGGGGTGTGTGTGTGTGTGTGTGTGTGTGTGTGTGTGTGTGTGTGTGTGTGTGTGTGTGTGTGTGTAAGAGAGATGTTGTACTTCTATAAAAAGGTAATACATGTCATCAGAAGGACAGGGCAAAGAGACACATCCTCCAAATTAAAGACATGAAAGCTGATGGTATTAGTTTTGTGTATAGGACATAAAAGGTCGTAAAAACAATACATTTGAATATGTGTGTCACACTAGGTCAGGTAAATCCAACTGCCTTATTTTCAAGACACTTATGAGGCAAAGGGATACTGTTGTATGATTCTTCATATAAAAACTAAATTTAATTTATTAATAGGTCGACAATCTCATAATTGTTGGTCAACTAAGTATTTATTTTGCCATTTACAGCCATACCTGATGCCTCAAGTGATTGGTATACAGAGCAGGTAAGACCTTTAAATATGGCTCCATTATCCATAATAAAAAAAGGTCAATTACAGACAAGAGCGGCTTTGAATTACCTAGTATGACACAGAGTATATAATCAGGAGAAAAGATACCCCGCTGCACCTTTTAACATGACACAAAGGCTATTAAGGTGTGTCTTTTATTCCTTGACCCGGCCTTAATCTCATAACCGGTGTTTAATTCTGATAAGAAAACCGCAACACACATCCTGGCAGATAACTGCACAATGATTACATTTCTTCCAGTTATAAGACAAATAACGCGTTTGTATGACACATCAAATTAAGTAACAAAAGGATAGCTTAATGAATAACAACACACAGACCTAAACTGACCGTTTGCTAAACATTCTTTAACTGTAATGAAATGACAGTTAATCTGTTGAAAATCCCTGTTCAATAAGCTTAAAAATACATAAGACATTCTATGATTTTAACTGTTAGCTATTCAAGCTAAGTGACATGAGACAGCAGGTTACAGGCAAACGAGGTGCTTATGCTTATATGGAGGCGTGTGGCGCAGTGGATAGAGCGTTGGTGTTCGGATCAAGGGAGCACAGGTTCAAACCCCACTGCAGTCAGCATGTCGTTGTGTCCCTGGGCAAGACACTTCACCCCAAATTGCTCCTGTGGGGATTGCCCACAGTATTGAGTATGTAAGTCGCTTCGGATAAAAGCGTCTAACATGTAATGTGATGTAAAATACATTCATATTCAGAGATGAAGGAACTGACTGTCGCCAAAGAGTCTGGATACAAATCAGCCAATGAGAATCAAGATACTGAAGGCCTATGACAACCACTTTGTTTTATTTTACCAAATGCTTTAAATACATATTAGCCATAAGGAGGACAAAATACGTTTGTTTTGTAAACGGAAGTCTAATACCCATGAGCAGGCAAATTATGAAAAAGCAAAAAAAGTTTGGTTGATTTATAAAATTAGATATGGCCTACATCACTGAAATGCAGCCAAAGGGTCACGATATTGCGATATCCAAAATATATTGTGATATCAAGTCTCATGTCACGATATTGATATATCATATCACCTTGGGAATACATTTTTAACCAAATTCTTTATTAGCTATAACAAACACAAATAGCTTTTGTTTTGTAAACGGAAGTCTAATACCCATGAGCCGGGCAAATTATGAAAAAGCTAAAAGAGTTTGGTTTGATTCAGAAAATTACATATGCCTACATTACTGAAATGCAGCCAAAGGGTCACGATATTGCGATATCCAAACTATATTGTGATATCTAGTCTCATGTCACGATATTGGCCCTTAGGAAGACATTTTTTTAAACAAATTATTTAATACATATTAGCTTTAAGAGGGACAAAAAGCGTTTGTTTAGTAAACGGAAGTCACACAACGTCGTAGGCGTGGTCCAATTTGTACAGCACGCCACGAGAAAAGCCTACCGGTCGTGGCTGCTGTCCCTGTGACCGGGGACACACCGCCTCTGTGCGCCGGCTGCACGCTGCGGCCATCCGCATGAATGGGGACAGGCTGAAGGTTACAGCCCGGCTTTTATGAATGAGCCGGCGTCACGCCACAGCAGCGCAAACATCCCCTCCGGTGCCCTTCGCCCTTCCACCCCCGCCAACAGAGATCTGCAAGGCAGGCATTCCTCCCGAGCACAGCCCCGTGCAGTCTGACAGGCAGGAGCTGTCGATATAAGCTAATGGAGTTGTAAAAAAACAACAACTGGGAGCCAATAATGTAAATGGTGCTGGCACGCCTGCTTAAATGTCTGCACAAGAGGTTGCTTTCGGCTCTTTTGCTACGTAGAAATGTTTTAATCGTGGTTGTTTTCACTAGAGTGCAGCTATAAGCGCACCGAGAGTGTTGAATGTAAGTCAGACTAAGCTACAGTTCCTTCTGGGTGAAGCTAATTTTAAGCTTCAAGCGCTTCCATATAGGCCTATGGGTGACGTTTAAACAGGACTGTGGGCCTACACTTTGCACGGATCTGTATTAGCTTCATTTCTTAAGAAGCACCAGCACGATACGTGATCTTACAAATTATTATATTATATTATTGTATTTAGTTCAGGGCAAGCCGTAGTTTACATTGGGTATTTGTTTTTATGAATGGAGCGCGGTAGGCTATGCAAATGAGGGCGATTGAGAAAGAGATGGCGGATGAGGCATATCGGATATCTCATATCCTGTGAGACTTCCCCCTTCGGTTGGGAGCAAACACACAGATGTGGCCAAAGAACGAGACGAAATTGCCTCTGTAAAACGCCGTGGGGGTTTTCTCTTTTACTGAACAACGCACAAACAAGAGGTACATGAAGCTGGCCGCTGTTTTGTGTATTTATAAAAGGTGTAACTTCGGGGCGTGTTTGAGTTTCTAAGTTACGCTGCAACAGGGCCTGCTCTCTCGCTTCAGATCCTTTCAGAAAATGTTTCCGATCCACCCACGCTTATTCCCCTCCTCCTCCTACTCCTCTCCTTTCTCTCTCTTCTCGAGACTAGTCTACACCAAGGTGGGGGCCCTTAAAAAAAACCTCTTGTCAATGCATTACTTTACACAGCAGCACCAAATCACATCGAGCTAATAAAATAAATGCAAAACAAAACATGAAAAGCAGCTTTGGGTTTCAGCATGCACATTCCTCAGAGTTGCTCTTATCATCCACAACTTGTAGGCACTGGGAGAAGTGAAATGCGGATAGAGAGAAACATTTGAAGCACAGTACTTACTCGTTTGGGTGTGTTTCTTCTATCATTTTCTCGTTTCACCTCAGGTAATGTACCACGGCGGTTGCATACTTTTCGCTCGTCATTCTTTCACCTCCGATTCTGTCTCCAATACGGCATAAATCCCCCCTGCGCCTTTGTGCGAGTGTCGGCTCTTCGACTGGCTGATCCTCCGTCTCCTTTTTCCTCACTTTTTCCCCCGAAGACACTCACTTTCTCCGGGATCGCGAATGCCCCTATTCCTATAACTTTAACACCCCCATCGCCTTCAGTATAGGAACCGTAGCCTGTAGAGACAATTTAGTAGCCGAATCCAGCTCTTCTCTTCGCACCCCCCCCCCTCCCCAAACACACGCACACACGGACACACAAGGCACACACTCCGGTTTTTAAGTCCTAAGGCGCATGTTTTTCACCGACGACTCCGGTTCCAGTTGTGCGTAAAAAGCGCGTCGTCGCTGTTGTTACCGAGGGGTGGCCCCGCTAGAGCCCCATCTCTCTCTACTCCATGTTGGATTGCAGGCAGCCGATCAGCTCCAACGACGCCGGGGGAGGGAGGAGGAGGGGGAGGGGGGTGCAGGGCGGAAGCGGTGACGTCGGTCTACATTTTGGTGGAGGGCCCATGATAAATTACCCCCATCACCCCCCCCCCCCTTTCCTTTCTCCGGATCCTTGATTTCAAATCCGGACATGTCACCTTTTGTTCTCAAATGGAAATCGTATGAATGCCCATTGGGATATTATATATATTGCTTAATAAATAAATAAATAAATAAAAAGTTGCTTAAGCAATGAGGACACACTGTGAACTCGCTATTTAACGCATACAACAGATTATAATTTATTATAGGTATAAATCACAGAAATTACCAATGTAATAACATGCTTGTCACTTTGGGTTGGTTATTGTAACCCTTTTGTTAGTAAAGATAGTACACTCATTGTATTGATCTACGTTGATCCTAAACTCCAAATGCATGTCTGATGAAACAAAAAAGATTAAAGGGATTTTCTGGTTAATCTTGTTAACTTTTTTTTAACACCATATATTTCAGGTAATCCATCGCAGCTGTGTGTAATCTCCCATTGCCTTTGTTGAGGGAACTAGTCTGCGGACTGAGCTTTTAAACACCTATTGATCTCCGGAGTGGGGAAGTTGGATGATTAGCCACTTTTGTTTTCGGCTGATCGCTGCCAGATTTGTGTTCCTGCCCTGAACAGTTGCCAGCATTGTTTTAAAGTTCATATAGGGAAAACACTTTTTAAAAAGTGTGGTCGTGTAGCGCCCTCAGCTGGTGTTTCATACATCCTACATGTCTCTAGTCAAAGTTCTCCCAAAAGGATTGCTTCATAAGAATAACACTGTGAATATTAAAACAATTGTATCAATACGTTGCAGTTATTACAAGTATTATCACAATTTCAAATACAAATTCTGCTTCTTTTGTTTAAACATGTCACAAAATATTTTAAGTATAGCTTTTAGATAGATAGATAGATAGATAGATAGATAGATAGATGGGTAATTGATTGATCCCAAATTGCATAATTATGTTGCCTATGTGTTCAGGCATTAACATCTTAAAATCTTTAAAGGTGGAACAAGTATAAACATAAGACAACAATAAAAAACAAAACAGCAGCAGGTCTATATATACAATATAAATGACATGAACCACAAAGAATACTCTGTATAAAATGTTCCAGATAAGTTTTACCTGTATGGGATAATAAAAGATAATACTTGAGCAACTTAGATCTGATAGAGTTGAACGTTTACACACTTTGCTCAACAACATTGTTGAGTAGGTTTTAAGGTAAAAAGCGTTATCAGGGAGAAGCTAACATTGTGATTGTTGTCTTTTAATCAAAGGAACAACTGAGTGGACCAACGGCTCAATATAGCAGACAGCAATTGCTTCATCACAAGTTAAGGTTTAATTTGCATGTTTCACAGAGTATTCAACATCTACCACCAGACTAGATAGCTGCTTTGAATATATATAGGGCGGGAAAATCAACATAAGAATCCAGTGTATTACTCAGTTTATGAAAGGTGCTGCATCTTTCCCTCTTTCTGCTGCAGATTGACTTTATTACAATACAATTCTGCTCCTTGATAATTTCTCAGAGTTTCCACAAGGTATTTATATTCTGAGATTTAAAAACTTGTACCAGTAATGTATTTTCTCTTTTGTTTTATTTGTTTTGTTTACTTGCATGTACATAATGTCTGTGCTGTGAGAGCACAAATACAATAAATAGTGGCCCTCTAACGACAGTATATGATTGATACCATATGTTTTTTGTCTTCAGAAACATTTGAAGGATCAGGATGTTGGAGTATAACTTTGACGCAGATGATAATGCCTAAACTTGTTTTACACATTATAACTCTTTATTTTACTTCATTTATAAAACTGCAACAACTGCACTCAGGGTGGCTTAGGGATAGAGACCTTTATATTATCAACCATTTGACATTTTGTTGTATTTAAAAAAAGTGACATCACCTTAAACAATCATTGGAGGTTTTGGCTGCCACCATGTGGTTTAAATGAGACAAGCCAGACTATAGTCAATCTGAGTTGAAGAACCTTTTCAAGGAACATTTTTACTGACACCAACCTGTATGGTTTTAGTTGCTAAGAAACAGAGACAAAATAATGTGCATGCACACCATCAATCCATGTTTTTGTAATAAAATGCACTATGTCTTAATAACCTTAATAAAGTTTATTAAAAAAAAGATTTCAGTCTAGTGTATTTTAAAGCATCCAGATTTTCCTTGTTGGGTAGCTTAAAATGTTTTTGACTTAAAGACTTGATTTAGCATTAAGAATATGAACTGGAAAACATGATAAATGTTATTTAATCATCAAAAAGTAATTCATCAAGTAGCATTTTCTGTTTAAGTAAGTGGTACTCCCCCCCATGTCTGGTTTCTGTCAGTGTTTGTTGTTTTTGTATCCTAATGCTGTCCTAATATTTGCTTTAATTCTGTATGTACTTCATGCAACAGATATTTCCCCTCAGGGTATTGAAGGGTCATTTATCCAAAGCTCCCCTGTGTATATAAACAGTTAATGAGTCCACACACACACACACACACACACACACACACACACACACACACACACACACACACACACACACACACACACACACACACACACACACACACACACACACACACACACACACACACAGTCAGCCTCCCATTCATCATCAGCGGAGTAAACACCACACATTCAGTCTCATTTTTCTGAGACAGATATATGATTTTTGTGGGGTCTTGCTCTTCAATAAATCTACCTAATTATAGCGTGAAAAATAATGTTAAATATTGCATGTCCATACAAACACTCAATAAAAGACAACATAGGCTTTCAACTACTGAGTTATTTAAAACATATACATTTACCCCCAAAATTGTTCCTTGCTTTTTTAACCTCCAGAGCTCTTATACTTACTTTTTAGTGAAAAAGGAACTGTTAATGATGGGAGGAGCACGTTTTCAATTAGTTTTGACTTTTTTGGGTGAAAAAACCCACATCAGACATAGGCTACCTTATTTTTCCAATGTGTGTGTTACTGAGTGTAACATATGTGTAGTAAATGATTTGTTGTGCAATATGAAATCTTCTAATCTTGTCACAAAGCCTTGTTGCATCCTAGAGTATAAACTACAACATAAAACATACTTACATTTGACGTTCAAAAGGATAAGATCATTCCATATGTTACAAAAAGTTAAAAAAAGATAATCCTTAACGTAAATTAATTCTGGTAACAGAACTTTGTTTGTCCGCAAAAACCGTACATGAGGCAATACTATAAGAATCTAATAATGTCATATGTCATTTGATAGTAATGAATTGTTACTTTTAACTAAGTAAAGGATGTGAATATTCCATCCACCACTGGGGCTAAATGTACTGTAGATTCATTTGCATACTTAATTCCTGGGCTCTACCTGAGGGGATCAAGACTGCAGGGGAAGATATTTGTAACAGGCCCATTCCGCGCATGCGTATTAACAGTAGAGACGGAGGGCGCTGGTTGCGTCGACAACGCCTATCATAAATGTTCATAAATGTTTGTGACATGTCATGGCGCATTAACGGTGCATACAGGTATTAACAAACACTATAACCCTCAGCAGTGTATAATATACATGGCTCTCTATATATCAGGCTATAAAATACGTTACACCACAACTTATAAGCCTTTCCCCCTCAGGTGTACAAGTGTATTATGGCTTGCTGTTGGAAAGCTAAATGAGCTAACGCTAACTACCTGCTGTTGGCTAGCTAAGGCTAGGCTACACTAGCTTCAGCTGAAATCATCAAATGGAGTTCTGCAATCTACTTTAAGGTAAATGCTTGTTTTTTCATTCATAAGGCCAACAGTGAGGCTCACTTAGTCCTGCAAGACAATATCAGCAATGTTGTTTATTGTCAAACGTTTTTAATAAGTCAACTTATCAAGTTATTTGGACAAACATAAACTGTTTCTGGCTTTGAATATGGGAGCATTTGCTGCTTTTCTCCGTTTTCAATCACAGTACTTTAGAGATAGGGTTTTGGACTTTCTGTTTAGACAATAATATAAAGTCATTTACACAGGGGAGGTGTGTTCCCTCCACTTTATGCTATGGCCTATGTTGTCCCTACTTCTCTACTACTACTTTGAAAGTATACTTTGTAAAACATAGGAAAAAGTTTGCACCAAGAAATCAATGCCATCCAACAAATTAAAACACTTTCAGAAACTTGTATTTGTACAGTGAACATTAACATTAAGTAACATTCAATGTAAATATAGAATACATGAATGAATACATGAATACATGAATGTGCATTGTGCATTATTATATCCTAAGGTAAAACAAAACAAATCCCTCCTTGTTCACTCATTATAAAATGGCCAAAATAGCGAACACCCATCAGTAACTTCAAACATTTCTTGACATAGTTTCTTGTTTTTTTTCTTATCCATGTTATTATCTACTCTGAACTCAAGTCGAAGTATACTTTAACAGTTGTTTTATATTTCTAAAGATAGGATGACTTGGTTGTAGCTCTTTATTGTATCCCTCTCATTGCATTTTTATAAAAAAAGAAAATGTATGTTTTTGCATAGTTGGTCAAAGGACTAGAGGAGATTAGTATCTTTTAATACAAAGTAGGGACTTTATATAATTTATTCTTTCATTTGGACAGAGTTTGACATCTTTATCCGTCACTGAATTGTATCCTTATTTCTATGACTCTGTGACGTGGAAACAGAACTACCATAGCCTCCTCGCTTTCTCTGCTTTAGTTTAATTTAACAAGCAAGAGGCGGTAGATTATAAATCATTGTGCCATACTGGGAAATAGGAAAAGCAGGGTTCTTTACTCAGGGTGTGGATCCTGAGGTTGTTTTAAACAGTTGGGTTTAAAACAACTTGACTTGTTTGTTTTGACTCTCATTCTTTAGGAATTTTAAGGGTTTTTGCAGTGGCTGCTTTGCTGTACATCATGTTAGTATTTTGGGTAAAACTATTTTTAAAGGGT